TATAAATTTTACATACATATTAAAACTTTGCTGTCCTAACATGAGGATTGTTTATTGTAATGGAACCTGTATTTGCCTTTGAATGTTAAGTTTTATACTTGAATTTTTTGGCAATGTTGAGAGGTTTTATTTTGGCTCTGCGTTATTTAACCTCTTCAGAGCCAGTCTGTTAAAGATAGTATTACAGATAGCAGTACGAATTGCACAATGCCTGTTTTGTTTTGTTTTTTTCTTGGAAAAAGTTATTAAACAAGTTTTTGTCTAAATTAAGGTGAATTTGTGGTTCTTTTTTCCACATAATGTAACCGGTAGTGCTTATGATTAAAAAAAATAATAATTATGTGATCGGTATCGGTGATCGGCCCTGATGGGTGATCGGAATCGGCAGGAAAAAACCTGATCAGCACATCTCTAGTTCTGACACATCTAACGTAGATCTAAATAGTAGATTGTAGATAGTGCTTACCCATAATGCATCAGTGTTGTCTAGTATTTTGTTTGGTTACTTAGAGCCGATCCAGTCGTGATACTTTACCGATGCTTGACGAGGACAGCGTTTCCTCTTTAGCAATCAAAGTGCTGCTTTGTGTTGCAGTCGTTTTGGGACTGGTTCTTCTTCTGGCAGAGAGTTCCACGGGAAATTCCTCTAGATCCCTCAAGGTTCCGACTTCTGAATCCCGACGTCATCAGGCAGACTGCCTTGGACTTCCTGAAATACCCTAAACCCAGGTGGCGCCTGTGGGGCTGGGACCAGGTACGGCTTAGTTCAAACCATTACCTGAGGAGTCAGGGTGGACGAAAAACGGGACAACAGTTAGACAACTGGATTTGTTTTTTTTTAAATAGCTCTAAAACATTCTGGAAAAAAGCTTAAAGTGATCAAAACATTAGTAGTAATATCTGATCTACTCAGGATTACCAGCTGTAGGTGGGTGAAGCTATTCAATTTGATGTTCAAAGAGAAAGTTGGAGTGCACTTTTGTTTTAAGAGGAGGCTGTAGATGTACCGATCTAACACTGCAAAGATTAAATCAAAAGGCATCATCCGTCTTAATATTTTGTCTCTGCAGACAAAGCGACGCATTTAATGTGTCCTCATGTTTCTTTATATATGAAGATGTATCGCCCCCTTGTGTTATGTTTTGTGAACTGCGGCATTTAAATCAGTTTGTACAGAAGTGATGTCATTCATCAAATGGAGTTTCCTGGCCACTTCTAGCAGACAGGAGGGAACAAAGTGAGCTCATCCAAAGAAATGACATCAAGAATGAGTCAAAGGTGCTGCTAAAAGCCAAATTTCTCTTGATTTTAAAGTTACAGTATCTCAACAAATTACTGACATGCTGAGAGACACAAACACAATATGAAATGTAGTTTTCATTTAACTTTATCTCCAGATGTAATGTTTGGACTGCAACTAACAATTTTTTTAGTAATTGATTATTCTGACAACAGATTAATTGGACAAAAAGACAATTTTTTGTAGAATTTTCATTTAGCCAGTTTAGCATTTCTATACATTATTAAATATATGAATTAAGAAAATATTTTGTTGCCTAAAATGCAGTTGCGTAGCATTCCTCTTGTGTATGTTTGATGATTTGTAGCAGTTTTTTAAAATCTTGAATGCAATGTATATATTTGAATAGTTTAACGATTAATCGATTACAAAATTAGTGAGAATTTTTTACAGTTGCTGATTAATCACAATTAATCATTTCAATCCTAATATTATGCTTCTGTATAATTCCCCAAAAGGCCATTTAAAAGTGATAAATTATAAATTGTGGAGGAAGTCCTGTCCTCAGCTCCATGTCCTCCTGCTGCAGAACATCAAGTATTTTAAGTTGAACCTGAAACAGCCCTTTAGTTTTTCACTACAAAGGAGTTGTGGCTTATGCACATCAGCATTAGAACGACTAGTGATAAACCTATAAAGATAATTCACTAGAGTTGAGATCAGTTCTGTAGATCATGTTTTACATTTTTAATTAGAGTGTACTTAAAATTTAAAGCACGGGGGGGGGGATAAAATATGAAGAATCTTAATTTCCTTGCAGAATGTACCGACGCTGGGTGTGACTGCACTGAGCTTAGCCAGCCTGCTGTGTGACGAGGTCAGCTTGGCGGGATTTGGCTACAACCTGTCCCAGCAGGGGGCGCCACTGCATTACTATGACAACCTGCCCATGAGGCTCATGCAGCAGGAGAAGATGCACAACGTGGACAAAGAGACTCAGTTCCTGCACAAACTGGTGAGAGAGGGGGTCATCAGCGACCTGACCGGAGGAATCCACTGCCCCTTCTGCTCCAGCTGACCCCGTCCTGCAGGTATTTCACTGCTCTACAAGCTCTGCTTTCGAAACTTTGCTAAAATGCACGCCCAAAGGACAAAGAAGAATTAAGAGATTTTATGCAATTATGGTCATAGTTTATACTTCAGTTTCAGATCTCCTGACAGATATTTGAAGCTGGCTTCAGATATTTTATTTTTATGTTGTGAAAGCTGTTCATCATTCTAATATTGTCATTTTCAGGTCTTTGAGAACTAACATGAAATGTTTTATTTTGTTTTTAATAAACAGAGTTATTTATTACTGACATTTCAACTACAATCCTAAATAATGTTGATGACACAAAGAAATAAAATATGTAGAAGATTACTAGTCGTGTGTGCTTGTCTGGTTTATTTTTTCTAAACCAACTAGATTCTTTTTTTGTCCTGTACATTTAACTCTTGTGTTTGAATAGCAGACATCTAAAACACAACCACTGGTTAACCACCACCACAACCAGTCGAATGTGAATTGTTTGCATGGGCTTAATGGTTTTCAATATAAACCAAAGACATCTAAAGTTTTAGCATAGGCTCAGCTAAATTGTCCACCCATCTAACTTAGCTTCAGGCTAAATGGCCAGATTTAACAGATTCAACATCATCAAAAAATGAACAGTTACCTCCTTCAAAAAAACCTTTTAAAAAATAAAAACAAAAAACTTAACCACAGAACCATATACAGGCAAAAATTACAACCACATTTTTGCTAAAGTTATTCATAAGGTTCAAGTAGTAACTTAATCCAAAGTTGCAATTTTCCAAGTAGCATTGGGACCTGGAATTGCTTTGTTTTCTCATCTAAATAAATGAAGCTCAGTGCAATTGGAACATTTAATCAAGATAAGATGACAGTAGCTCAGTATAAAGTGATTTAATCCTATTAATTGTAATTTGTACATCATCTGTGCAGCGATGCAAGGAGAAGTGACACTTTTGAAAAGTAGAGCGGAGGGAACCATTTATATTACAAATGGTCTGTGGCCAAGAATCCAGCCCTGAGGCGCTTTGGAAAACGACTGTAGTTTTCGAGTAACATAAATAAGAATAGTGAATAGGGTAAAAGGGGAAAAAACATGATTTAGAAAGAACACAGCATTTTTTTCTGGGAGAAACATTAAAGTCACGTACAAGAAGGAACTACCAGAATATCTCGGATCCAGTGGAGTTTTAGAGATTTACAGAATTTAGGCACATGCTAATTCACACCTCAACCATTGTATAACCTACAGTTTATACCACTACTGTGTAATATTAGGTTACAACACCTTTGATGTCCAGCAGCTAAGAAATCCTACTAAATCTCACTGCATCTTCAGCCAAAAATAGCTAATGACCTGGTGATATTTATAAGCTCCAAACTTCACATTAAAGGTGCTACAATCGGTTCACATTGCACAAGATCTGACAGTGTGCAGGCGTTTGCACACAGGCCAGGACACTCCTGGTTAAATATTAGCTTTAATGAGCTTCTGGGCAACATGCTATCCCAGGGAGAGCCTAGGACTTTGTAGTACTCTCACTGTAACTGGGCAGTAAATTCCCATTGGAGATGGATTGTAGCAGTGAATAGTTGCATATGGTTTGGCAGTAAGATGGATGGGGTTTTAGTGTGTTACATTTCCCAGAAATAAAATAGTTTTGCTGCAGCTGTAAAACATAAAACAAACCCCCACTGGAAAATGTATTTCACAAAGCATGCAAATAAAACAAGGGAAAAAATATTAGTACTTGAAAGATATGATGTTCCTATGTGCCTCGTGTGATGTCATTCGTGGCACTGCACATACAAGTGGAAGCTGGTTTTAGGGAGGGTAGGTCTTACCTTCAGTAAATATGAATATGCTGGAAAACAGGAAAAAACAGTTAACCATGACATGTTAATCTATGTTTAACATGTCATAACTGAGGATAGCTTTGAGTGTTAGTAACTTTAAAATATGAAAGCCGTCGGTGGAAGTTATCTCCGTCTGTAACGCCACAGGATTAAGCGACTGCGGTTTTCAAAATAAACTTGAACGAATTATATCGTTGAGGCTACAAAGGTTACATTCTAAAAAAAAAATGAAATTATGTGAGGCAAAAATGCTGTTTCATTTATTCTTTTATGTTTTGAGCTGAAATTGTGCATTGTAACTCGTTCGTTCTTCAGTTTTAGCTTCAAGTCAGTATTGTATCCTTTATTTTGAAGGGCAAACCCGGAAGATGCGTTCACGAACGAAGCAGCTCCAACTTCAGGTGCGCGTGGTGGAGAGCGTGAAGCGGCGGCGAACTTCATTGAATAACAGGTAAGAAATGTCTGACTTATGTTGCTGAATTATCACTGTGGTACTGCTAACCTTGATACTACGTAGCTCAAACAAAGCGTACTAGAAGTTTTATCCATCTGAAGGAGCACTCAGAAATGAAGCTGGCAAAATATTTAATTACATTTCAGGTTCAACAGTGTTAAGTTTCAAAGGTGTTTCAAGCACATCTCGGCTTTAAAGCAGCTGTTTTTATTAAGTATTGTTTACATGTATGGCCCGCGTGTCTTTTTGTTTTTATTGTTCCGCGTGAAGTCTGGTCTGTAATTTGTGTTTTATTTAAGTCACGAGTGCATAAAGAGGAGCAAAAAGAACAGTTTCGATGCGTCCATTCTCTGGTTAAGTAGCTTTTCGAAGAAAAAAATCTTAGTTTTTCTTAACATAGTTTTCAGTCATTTTTAACTGTAGTAAAACGCATTTATGCAATGTTTTTTTTTTCATTTAAGTCGCGCGTGCTTCTTCTGTACGCGTGAGAGTGGTTGGGTCCTCGTGTAGGTGAATTGACAGCTGTATACCTGATGGAACCACTACTGTGCGCCCTTAGGTGAAAGTTAGCATGTCTCTATCATCAGGAAATGTAAGGCAGGACGCTATTGATAAGAATGGGTGGAGCAGGCATAACAAAGAATTCACAAGAGGTCGGGTAGCAAACTGAAAGCACATTTTAACATGCTGGACTAGTAAAATAAGCCCACTGTGGCAATAAAGCTCAAAGAAATATTTCTGCTTTTTTTTCCCCTTCCTGTCAGAACGGCCAATTCCTGAGAAGTCACGGTAGGTGATTAGGTTTTGACCCTTGTTTTTGTTTTTGATAGAGCCTTTAATGCGGCTTTTTACCAGAAATTTAAATAGGTCTTAATTTGTTAATTCTTCCTTTACAATACCTGACCAAATATGTAAAATGAAATAAAAACAAAATCAATCAGGTTTTTTTGGTGCCATTCAAAAACTGCTGGGGAAAAAAGTGGAAACAAATAAAAAGCATGAAAATAAATGTGAAAAAAATCTAAGTAGTAAATAAAATTTAAAAAAAAGTAATGATTATTATAACTAACTATAAATAATTTGAAATATTTCAACCAAACAAACCGACTTGCAATTTGTATTACAATTAGTTTAGTTAGTTTACTAAAATATGATCTGTTCCAGGGGCAGAAAGTGGAATATGGAAAGTGTGTGTCAGTCACATTAGCAGAAAGTACTATCAAGCTGGAATACACCAAAAATAATACGGCACAAAAACTGTTGTGTTGTTTTTGTGATCATTTAAAGACAATTTTGAAATTTAACATCTTTTCATCATCTCACAACAGCTTCTCTATCTCTGCTTCAAAGGAGCTTCCCCAAAGCATGATGCTGCCACCACCATGTTCAACTATGGGCCCTTTGTGTTCAGGGTGAAGTGCAGTTTTTACCAGGCATCATTTCTGAAAAGAATCATAAGTATTATGAGGATATTTAAGGCATTTCTGCTTGTGCTTAAGAAAATAAAGGAATAGGATATCTAGCAACTCAGCGGGGCCCTAAGGGGTCTGCTCCACTTCACCTTTCACCTGCTTGATAATCCAGCCTTGCACAAGGCGGTGAAATGATTTCTTCAATTTTTATCTCTTACTCTCATTCCCATCAGCTGACTGTTTAATGAAAATCCATAAAATATTACCAATGATTGTTTGTACATAATGTTCCAGACCTGAACTGGAGTCTTCTTTATTTTATTATTCTACATTTACATTGGCCCTAAACAAAAATTGGCTCCGTTTCTGTAAATCAGTATTTATTTTTAATATTTAAATAATCAGATTTATCATCGGTTGAGATGATTTGCAGTTTTTCTTTTTCTGACCGAAGGAACAGCTTCAAATTTTACAAATTAGACGAATGAATGGAGTTTGTTATGCAACAAGTTTTAATGTCCTCCGCAGCTGTTTCACTTTGATCAGCTTTTATCTCGGCCCATGCAATCATCTCAGCTGACCACGCTATGGGGTCATAGGTCACTGAGGCAGAGGTGAGACCACTGAGCTGCTCCTTCTTCCCACTTTTCGACAGACTCTGTAGGAAACTTTCATTCACTCCAGTGGTGTTTTAATTGAACGGAACTGTAATCCCTAAACAAATGTTTTATGAGCTTCTATAAAAGTAATAAAGTAGTAGAAGTTGCTTCTCTCTAGTCTCTTTCCCTATCTTGCTCATTGACCGTCTCAAAGGCCAAATGTAAACAATCAGGCCGACTGTCTTGGAGCCGTGGGCCTATCAGAGGACTTCCTGATGCCTGTGTGATGTGTGATTGGAGGGCTAGCTCTGGCTAACTGTGTATTAACAGGTCTCTGTGGATTTTTAGTGTCACTTCCTCCTCGTGGCAGCAGCAGCAGCAGTGTTGCCGGGGTCGCTGTCCGTGGATGATCACCAGAGATTAAACATCTGCTGCTTTCTGTTCCAGGTTAGTGGCAAACACTGGATAGAACGATAGAGTTTTACTTTTGGTAAGTAGATAAAGATTCCTGTTTGGTCTTCTTTTCCTTTTGTACTTGTTTTTCCATTTTATGTATCACTTTCCAGTTTTAGTAATCTGTGAAATCGGTTTAGTTATTTTACTTAAAGTCTACTGACCAGTCTCTATATTTTAATGCTTAAAACAAAGTTGAGTTTCTCCTGTTATATTATCCATATTTCTGTATAGAGTGAGTAGTCCAGTCTGGGTTTGTTTGGCCGTTTCTAAGCCTCCGTCATGTTCAGTAACAACATGCCTCAGAACTTTGTGTGTTCTTGCTGAAGGAGAAACAATGAAACCGAATACACAGTTCCTCCTTGGTTGATTACAGAGTAAAGAGCATAAAGGGGAATGTTGTCCTCAAGCCACGGCACTGTTCTGAAATTCTGCACATTCAGGTTTTCTTTTTGTCATTCATCTTTAAAATGAGCTCTCCATTGTTTCCTCAACAACAATACGACTCAGTTTTTACCACCATCTTCACTAAACAGCTCCTTTGACTCCAAAAGCCACATGGACTCAGTTGTTGTCCAAAAATGCTTGTTAAATTAATGAGTTATTAAACTTTATAGGTGTACCTATCAGAATGTTGTAGCATATTTACAATCTGTAGTCTTTCGGTGCGTTCAAATTCCTTTGATGGCGATGCGACGAAGGTTCCTCCAAATGTGTGACCGCCACTAATTCGTGGTCTTCAACATTTCCACTGAACTCTGAACTGCACAGCATTCTGGGGGATGTAGGCAGAGGAAATGCTATAGCCTCTCAACCTCTCACCACTAGTTAAGCAAGGTGAGCGGCATCAACTAACCCACTCACTCTTTGGTTACCTAGCAACAACCTGTTGAGCAACTTGTGCAGCAGCAGCTTCAAGTTTTGCCACTGAACCTCATAACTTCCAAAAAATAAAAAACTGTGTGGCGTAAGAATAAAAAAAACAAAAACAATGGCTTGAGAGGAACATGTGGAGAAAACAGGAAAGGTCATCTAATCAGTTATCAGTATTTTACATATTTAAAACTAATAAATAATTATAAATATTGATCGCTATGAAATGGTTCAGCCATGTTGCCCAGCATACAAGATTTATGTTCCAAATATGTTTTTTTTCTAGCCTTTCAATCAGCAATTATAATTCATCAGGAGAAGATGCAACTTTTCCCCCATGTGTGAGAGAGCAGCAGCTGTAAAAAAAAGATTTTGTTAAATTCTACATGTATTCCTAGAATGACTGATACCTGCCTGTTTCTACAGCTTTCTGTCTGCTAAGATACTTCAGTTTGTTTTATTCAGTCAACTTAAACATAGAGTGATGTTAAAATATATATATAATGACTTTAATAGGCTTAGATAATTGCATGTGATGTCTTTTGTGTTCATTTCTTGGCCCAATGCCATGAACTTGAGCCCAGTTTAAGCAAGAGTAATTTTTTCCCCTCACTTTCTCACCTGTAGTGAAGAAATTAGGCTCCACCCTGTTCTCTTTTTAAATGTGTCGTTAATCTGAGAGTCTGTTCCCTACGCACCACAATAGATGGGTTAATTCCACCTCCACAGGCTCAGCCTGACATTCTGTTCTTGATGTGTTATAAGATGACAATAGAGCTCTTTGATTTGAATTTTACTGATTACTAACTCATCTGTGCTGAATTCTACCTGGTCTTCCAGACTGAAAAAAATTCATGTTGATACATACAGCCTTTTTCCAAGTATTTACAGGGTAAATAAAAGGCAGGAGCTGCTAACTAGATGCACTTTGTCAGTTTATCACATATGACTGCCTGTGTAAAAGCAAGACAGCTCAGTCATTGACTCTGAGGTGGTGGGAAGACTAACATCTGCAAATCAACACCTCAAAAACGAAGCGCACGGCTGCTTATGTCAGAAGAGTAATCCCAACTCCAGAGTCCACCATAATTAATGGGTAAACCATTGAACAGGTGCAGTCTTATAAATACCTTGGGACAATCATTGATGCAAAGCTAACGTTCAAACAGTGTGAATGTGGGTGCAGGAAGAGACAGCAGCGCCGTTACAGCAGTGTTCTTTTCACAGGAACTAAACAGGGATGACACTGAAGAGTCAGTTTTAAGGTTCCGGATGTAAAGACCAAATGTTACCCAAACAGTTTTATCCTGGCATGCCGAGGTGGCACAGGGGTTAAATACAACCCACTTTAGGAAACTTTAGTCCTCAACCCAGCCGTTGCAGGTTCAAATCCCGGCCTGCTGATCTTTGCCGCATGTCTTCCCTCTCACTTATTACCTACTTTTCTGTCTGAGCTCTTTCAAATAAAGGCCACTGGAGCCAAAGAAACCCTTTAGAAAAACAAACAGTTTTATCCTGACTCCTTTCTAGATAACAAAGTCAGGAAAAAGTTTTAATTAAGAAGAAAAAAAATAGCAGGATAGGAAAGTACAGGGTTTATCCCAGTGGCTTATACGCCTGGCTGGCCAACAGGCTTTTCTTATGTCCACACCAGGCTAAGCATTTATTTATTTATTTTAGTTTGTTTTAATGTTTGCCCCTTTTTTAAGACTTTATATTTGATGTGCAGGTATTAATCTTCCAATAACACACAATTATCAAGTGATATTTAAAAATTTCCTGTCAACTTGAAATATTTTTTAACTAAAAGGAAAATGGCGGTCAACCAGTGGCCTACCACCGGGTTTGGAAAATTTTCTGGAGGAAATCCTGGAAGTGTTTCAGATGATCACTTATTAATAACCACAAAATTAAAATGAAGCCTGAAAACATGATACTTTAACGGACTGAATGTTCTGTTCTTTGTGTGAAAACTGTTTGAGTGTTTTTTTGGTGTTACATTAGTGGCATTGTTATCAGTTGTTATGGCAACAAGTCTGCGCGTAGCGTAGCCGACACAGAGATCGAGGAAAATAAAAAAGAACATTAATGGTTTTGACTTGTTCTTCAATGGTTTTCCCTTTGCTGTGGTGCACTGAACTAAGTGAATAATACCTACATCTCCAGGTTTCATCCATCCATCCATCCATCCATCCATCCATCCATCCATCCATCCATCCATCCATCCATCCATCCATCCATCCATCCATCCATTCATTCATTCATTCATTCATTCATTTATTTTCTAACACCCTTTTCCCGATTGGGGTTGGGAGTGGTGCTGGTGCCTGTCTCCAGCAAACGTTATGGGAGAGAGGAGGGGTCACCCTGGACAGGTTGCCAGTCCATCACAGAGGTCTCATTTAGCTAAATTTAGCTGAATTGTTATGGGTTGAAAAGGAATCGTCTTTTTGCCCTCCAGCGTTTTGCGCATGAATAAAATTCTGGAAATAATATAGACACATTGCAATAATGTGCAACGTGTCTATATTGTCTTTAGTATAGTTTTCTGTGCTTTTTAAATACTTTATCTTTATGTGAGCCTACATGCCTCGATGCTGCTGTCACACCTGAATATTTCTGTTCTGTTCTATTCTAGGTCGCCTCCTGACCAGCATCTGTTCATCATCTGCGACCTCTGACCTTTCCTGAGCCCCCAAGCCCACCTCTGTATTTCCAGTGCCACAGCAGCATGCTGAGCCAGGAGTTCCTAGAGAAGATGAAGTCCTTGGACCTGGCAAATGTGAGCCAGTACATCAGTAACATCTCCACCCCCATGTTGGTCAGCATGGGAGCAGTGGCCGCTGCCACCACCTACTACCTGGCTACGCGTCCCAAAGCCCTCCCACCACTCTGGGACCTGCACACGCAGTCTGTCGAGGTTCTGGTGAGTTCAAGTCCAAAGGGAAATTGAACACACTTGTATGGAAAAGTAAAGGTTGGACAGACTCAAGAACAAGCCAAGAAAACGTTTTTTTTTTCCAAATGCCATAGATAAGTTATCTACTACAAAATAAAGTTTAATACTAAATATAATTCAGTTCAGCTGTTTACATGGCATCAACTCATAACAAATGTCACCTCGAGGTTTCTTTACAAGATGCCTTGAATAAACTGGAATGTGTCAATCATTCTCATCCATTCCTGGACAAATGTTTCCACCTCTGGGAAAAGAAATGATTTAAGAAATGATTTTTCCTAAAGACGTGAGCAATCCGAGGAAATTAATCTCTCTATTGCCGGAAAAATCAACTTACAATTTACTGAAGACGGATGATGAAACTGGGACAAAGGCTGAATAGTCTGGTCTTGTACAGTCCAAGGACTCCAAAGTGCTTCAAACTATCATTCACACCGATGGAGCTACATTGTAGCCACATGATCTCTCTCAAAAACAAGCTGAAGTACATCCTAGACAAAAGCCTTCCTCAGTACCTGAAATCTCTTTTATTAGCTTTCATAACATGTGTTGTGTTTTTCAGGGCAGTGATTTTGTGCATCACTCAGCGCTTCAGAAAGAAGACAGTTTCCTGACTCACATCTATGAAGACGCCAGAACTATGTACGAGTCCTTCATCAGAGGAGCAAGAGTCTCCAGTGAGTGAAATGATGACGAGCTTAAAGCTTTAACCTGGGATATGCCCTCTGACCCACAGCACCGTTTTCATTTAGGTTTAAGTTCAGCAGATCTTCAGTCTCTTGATTGTTTTATTTTTACAGTTTTGAAGTAGAAATGAATGTTTTGCAGGTATAAAGCCCTCCCCAACCTGTCTCTTGTTGTTATTTTCTTCCTCACACTTTGACCCTTCTCCTCTTCTGTCTCCTCCCAGATAACGGTCCCTGTTTGGGCTTCAGGAAACCAAAACAGCCTTATGAGTGGATGTCTTACAAAGAGGTGCTTGTTACACTGCAAAAACACATCTTTTTTTGTCTACTTTCTAGATCACATATATTATTATATTGGAATTAATTCAAAATTAACTCAGAAGTAACTGTTCAGTAAGATATAGGAATCAATAATTCCTTAATAGTGATGAAAAAGTACAAGTTATAAGTGAAATAATCTGCCACTGGAACTATGCTTTTTAATCAATGTTAAGGAAGTTAAAACAAACACCTATTTCTTACCAGAAAGTTACTTTTATGTTAGTTTCTACTAACTTAGTGTATCAGTTTATCTGTGCTGCCTTAAGATGCCCTGTGTGTGTGTGTGTGCGTGTGTGTGTGTGTATGTGTGTGTCTCAATGTGTGTGTGCGTTTGTGTGTGTTTTGGTAGGTAATAAAGCGAGCAGAAAATCTGGGTTCTGCGTTTCTTCACAAAGGACATTCAAAAACCACCAACCCCCACATTGGTATTTTTTCTCAGAACAGACCAGAGGTACAAACCTTTTTCTTTACCCTTCACTTTGTTTCTTTTGTTGCTTTTTCCAATCTAACATTAAATATGTTCTGTTCTGTTTTGACACCGTAATGTCTATGTGTGTTTAGTGGACCATCAGTGAGCTGGCCTGCTACACCTACTCCCTGGTGTCCGTCCCGCTTTACGACACGCTGGGAACAGACGCCATTTCCTACATCATAGACAAAGGTGAAACCCTGCAATATTTTGCTAAATTATTCACATCCTTTCTGGGTTTTTTTTTCACATTTAAATCAGTTACAAACATGAACCTCAATGTATGTCATATGGAAACCAACACAAGTTAAATATAACTGTAAAGCATGCGTAGATATATCAGGTGTGATATGATTAATCACATTAATCATTATGAATCAATTATTGAAGTCAAATTATTTGCAACCGATTGTTAACTGGATGCTGGGAAATGTGTAAAAGGTTCAAAGGTTACGCATGCTGCTGTAAGTTAGTGTGTTTTATCCTGTCCTTGACTCAAACCTCCTCTGTACGTCGGGGTTGTGTTTGTGCAGCTTCTATCTCTACCATAGTGTGTGACGTGATGGACAAAGCCAGCCTGGTGCTGGACTGCCTTGCAAACATGAAGCACTCAGTGAAGACCATCGTTCTGATGGAGACCCCCAGCACCAGCCTGGTGGAGAGGGCCCAGCAGGCCGGAATCCACATCCTGAGCCTGCAGGAGATGGAGGTCTGGAGACACTTCTTAACCTCCACGCTTTCATCATGCCTGATTAGTGGATGTTAATTCTGTTCTTTAATCATGTAGTGGATTTTACTTGCTGGGAAACTTTTATTTCTCTCTCTGCTGAGTTGTTTCCAATCTTTATGTCATCATTTTCATTTTCCCTAAACCATTTTCAGTTCAAAGGAATCAAATGTCCTTTTCTCCCCTCTTTTACTGTCTTGTTTTACCTTCCTGTTCCTCAGGCTCTTGGTCAGGCCAACTACAAGCAACCGATTGTAAGTAACACCAACTCTGTCCAGAATTTTCCAGTGCTAACAAACATGACCTTAAGCTCGTCTGTTTGACCCTCGTTAGCCTCCTCAGCCTGATGACATGGCGGTCATCTGCTTCACCAGTGGAACCACAGGTAACACACTCCGTCTGAACTGCACACTAAACACCTTCATTCATGACCAAAATATCCATGCTGCTGTTCATTTTCAGGAAGCCCGAAAGGAGCGATGCTAACACATGGCAACATTGTGTCCAACTACTCTTCCTTCATCAAACTGACAGAGGTGAGAGCTTTTATCTGGACTCACAATCCAGATAAAAACGCTTGTTTTTCACTTCTTTAAATTCAACTTTCAGCTTCTAAGATTTGCTCTGATTCTTATCAAGGAGATGTGGGGAAGCATAAAATAATTTACTTTAAAAACACAAAATCTTACCAAGTATTTTCGCGCTAGTTTTTTCTGCAAGTATCTTAGTTCACTTAAAGTAAGACTAAACTAGCTTACATGTAACTTTTCAGTACAAAATAGGAGTTTTGTATCAATAATTCCTTACAATTGATTTTAAAAAGTTGTATTTATAAGAGAAATAATCTGGCACTGGAACAAGATATTTTAACTTATAAAATGGAAGAAATATCTTCTTCCACTGGCAGATTAATTCGCTTATTGATGAAAAAGTTCGAGTTATATTAAGGAATTATTGACTTAAATCAAGCTCCTCTATCTTGCTCAAAAGTTACTTATAAGTTTGATCTTATTTCAACTGTACACAGATATTTGCTCTAGTAACTAGAGTGAAAAACAAATGAATACAAATACTGCAGAAAGGAGCCATCGCTATGAGAAACAGCAGATCCTATGTCAGATTTATGTTTTGTTTTTTGGCAGCCTTCAGGCAGCTAACTCACAGAGGAACCACACCCAAAACAAACATGTAGCGCTGCATGTTTGTTTTCTTTTCTTTTATTGTGTTATTTCTGTTCCATCTGTCACTCAGAAAGCGCCAAGTGGTTTGAGAAGAAAACAGCTTCCACTTTCATATTTTATTTAATGTTAGCATGTTGGATTGTTCAGCTTTCCTGCTTGATCCACTTCTTCTTCTATACAGTCATATATTTTGACAATATTAGGAGACTTAATGCTGTATTTTCTGCCTGTGAGATAAAATCACTCACCTGATGTTTTTACCTTCCTTGCTGTCGTCTCCTGTAGTTGTGCTGTCCGCTGAATTCCAGCGACGTCCATATTTCCTACCTCCCCTTGGCTCATATGTTTGAAAGACTAGTCCAGGTACATCCAAGGTTGCCACCTTTTAGTAACTCCATCATCTCCACTGCAGGAACACGCTGCAAAAACTGTTTTCGGTGCCATCTTTGTCCAACAGGGGGTCATGCTGGTGCATGGAGCCAGAATCGGCTTTTTCCAGGGAGACGTCCGCCGGTTATCGGATGATCTGATCGCGCTGAGGCCTACGGTGTTCCCAGTGGTACCCAGACTTCTCAACAGGATGTATGATAAGGTGAGTGAGCCACCGTAACATCTTCTGGTAGCTCTATGATAGGTCTGTAACTAACAATTATTTTAGTAATTGATTATTCCATCAGTTGTTCTGACGATTAATCGTATAAAAAACTGAAACATTCCGCAGATTTTTCACCTTAGCCATTTTTACACTATTAGAAATACAGTAAAAATGCAAATAAGCAAAAAAAAAATTCCTGTTATCAGTAACAGGAATTTTATTGCCTAAGATGCAACAACAGCATTCCTTTAGTGTACGTTTGATCATCTGGAACAAAAGGAAGCATCTGCAGCTAAAAAAACATACAAATTACTAAGCTATTGTTTGTTTTTTGGATTAATAACTGGATAGCAAAAGGTGCTTAATATGACATTTTTTTAATACAGAATCTGAAGTGAAGTTAAAACTCCCACTTGAGTTCTGGGTAGTAGATATGTACGTGCAAAGAAGGTTCTTTCATCTTAAACGTAAAATGTATAGATTTTTATATAGCTTAGGTTCAATTATTGGCCACTTTTAGAGTCTGAAAACTCCAGTTATTGATTAACCGATTTCAATAATCGATTAATCACGATTAATCGTATCAGCTCTAGGGGTTTTAGATCTACCATGTGATTGAAAGGGGGTTGGGAATGATGAAGTCCACCTTGTTTTCACTGACTGTTTATATATATGTGTGTGTGTGTGTGTGTGTGTGTGTGTGTGTGTGTGTGTGTGTGTGCGTGCATGTGTGTGCGCGCGTGTGTATTCAGATCTTTGGGCAGGCTAACACGTCTTTGAAGCGCTGGCTGCTGGACTTGGCCTACAGGAGGAAGCAGGCAGAGGTCGAGAAAGGCATCGTGAGGACAGACAGCATCTGGGATCGACTCATCTTCAGGAAGGTCCAGGTACGCAGAACCAACGCACCCATCACTTCTGTTTTTCTGCTGCAGAATTCTCTTCTGGGGACAGGAAGTCCTACTGGTCACATTGTTCCTCAAACCAAAGGAAACAAAAAATTTTCTCAACTCGTTTTTAATTTTTTATTGTGTAAGTGGCAGCAGTAGTTGCTGGTCATTTTTCTCCTTGTCGCGTTTCGGTTCTGGTTGTTGTACCTGACTATAACAAAACAGAGCCGTCTGCAGCCGAGTGGCAATGATGTAAAATAATTCTCTGCAATCTGCCACCTAGACTTCTTGGGGAAAGATTACTTACATTTAATTATTGCATTTAATTATTGCTTTTTTTTGTTTGTTTGTTTTATAGATCTATGGTTTTGCAACTAATATATTCCACAAGGAGTGGAATATATTGGCTTTTTTTTTTTCAACATAATTATGTTTGATAATGAGCCCTCCATTAATATTTTATGAAAGTCATTTGGCCCAAATGTGGATCAGAACTAAAATTCATTGTAATATGACGTAATTTAAAGTTTCAAAAACTGATACAATTAAATTATGCGACATTTGAGCATTTTTATTAAGTTTTATCCCCATGCTTCATAAAAATACACTACTACAAAGTAGATTAAACCCATCAAGGCTGTGATGTAAGGCATTGTTTCTGCTGAAACACTAAGATATAAACATCATTGTAATAATAATTCTCAATCAGACTTTGCTGATCAGGTGCAAGAGCTTGTTGCTTTTTTGGCTGATTATTATTTTAGATTTCTCAGTAGTATCCCACGCTGCCCCCTACAGGCCAGCCTCGGAGGCCACGTGCGTATCATGGTGACAGGAGCGGCCCCCATCTCCCCTACAGTCCTCTCCTTCCTCAGAGTTGCTATCGGCTGTCAGGTAACGGCTCTGCTGAAGGTTTTCTCTCTGCTGCTTCATAAATTAGATCCACATTGATCCAGTCTGGTTGCTCTGCAGTTCTACGAAGGCTACGGCCAGACGGAGTGCACCGCCGGATGTACGATGACCCTTCCTGGCGACTGTAGTGCAGGTAACGTTTTGCCGCACGAAGCCGTCTGATCAGCCAGTAAGATGTGAACTGAGAGCGACCTCTGCTCAGCAGGTCACGTCGGACCGCCTCTGCCTTGCAACGCCATCAAACTGGTGGATGTCGCTGAGATGAACTACCTGGCTGTAAACGGGGAAGGAGAGGTAGGACACCAACACCAGCCAATGGAATCGCATGGTTTTGTTTAGCCCTCTCTCCCTTCTACATGTTGGTGTGTGTTTTTGTTTTTTAGGTGTGTGTGAAGGGTCCAAACGTCTTCCAGGGCTACCTGAAAGACCCAGAGAAGACGGCAGAGACTATAGATGCAGACGGATGGCTGCACACTGGAGACATTGGGAAGTGGCTTCCTGTACGTTTATCCAACTTCATTTATTCTCACAGTTTTTCTATGTGAATTATAGTGATATGGCTTAAATATAAAATCTCAAGATCATGTCATTCAATTTGAATTGGCTTTTTTTTTCTTCTCACTGACAGGAAATATTTTCAGAAAGTGGCTTTTTTGTACAAATCCCTTCTGGGAGTTGTACAGTGGAGTACTAGGGCAAGGCTACAACAATTTCTGTTAAATTATCAGAATATAGTCACAATATTAGCAGAATATAGATGCATTTTTACCAGAAGAATGTACTGAAATTATGAGAATGTT